TTCAGCAGTTGTTCCTTCCTAAGCAATTGAACAACTGAAAAACACAATAACATATAGTATCCAGAATCTCTGTGTATTTCCCATCTTTACGTGGCTTTTTTTATTACGCTATATCTTTTAATTTTATTTTTTACTTTTTTGAGACAGGTTTTCTCTGTGTACTTTGGCTGGCCTTGAAATCACAGAGATCTACCTGCCTCTGCCTCCAGAATGTTGGGATTAAAGGCATGTGCCATCATACCCAGCTACTCTCTTTATGTTTTTTTTTCCCACTATCCTGTTTCTTTTTATCTCCTAAGCCTACGTACATTTTTTAACACACTATAAACCTTTTAGAGGCTTTACTTCATCTGAATATGACTTTATTGTAAATCTTTATGTTTTTCTGGTCACGTGTCTTTTATCTGCTAAACAACATTGCTAAAGTTAAAGTGGAAACAGCCACTGGCTTCCCAACATGACAGGCGCAAGTTTGCCGCCAACATTGGGAGCTGTGCTCACTGCCTTAGTCTATGACTGTTTGGAGATGTGGTCACTGCCACTGCCAGCTGCTTGTACACACCATTCAATTGTTAGCAGGGCTTCTTAAAAGAGCTTTGCAGTTTTTCGCCGCTTATACATTGTCAGCAAGACTCCCTTAAGGGAGCCACGTGAGTCTGCTTGTGTCTAGCAAGACAGAGCCCACCTGAGAAAAATGCTGCTACCAAGAAGCTGTGCTTCTCTCTGTTCTTTTGTTTCTAAAGTCCCTTTTAAGCTTTTGTCATTCTACATGAAAATTCATGATCTCACTGCTGACACTATATGTAACAGTGTAGTCTCCCAGCCAGCCGCCTGGGTCCTGAGCTGTCTCAGACCCCAAATAACACATGAAACACTATATTAATTATGAAGCTGTTAACTGTTTGCTTGTTTTCTTACTGGCTAGCTCTGATTTATTAACCCATAACTGCTAATCTAAATATTTCCACGTGGTCTTCTCTTACCGGAGAAAAGTGTCTGGACCTCTTCTCCAGCCTCCTACATTGTGACTGACTGTGCCTCTGTTTCCCAGAATCCTCCTCGACTCCTAGTCCCACCTATCTTGCTTCCCTATTGGCCAAATGTGGGATGTTGGTGGTGGGTGTGACAGGGGTGCTGCTTGCACATGGGGAAGGAACATGAAGTTACCCTTCTCCTGATCTTAGTCTAAAAAAAAAAAACAAAACAAAACTGAGAAGCAATGCCTGTGGGACTCTGTGTTTTCCTAATTTCACTACCAACCTAAACGTGTCTCCAGAAAGCAAAGTCAGGTAGAGCCTGGGATGCATGTCTGTGGGAGGCTGGGGTAGAAGAACTGTAAATTCAAGGCTTGCAAAGGCTACAAAGTGAGTTCAAGTACAGCCCAGGCAACTTAGCAAGACCTTGTTTCAAATACAAGTGAAGAGATTTGGCTCAGTGGTAGAACACTTGCCTAGCATGTCTGAGGTTTAGTCCCTAGTAGTGCCCAAATAATGAGGAGGAAGAAGAGGAGTAAGGGGAGGGAGAGGAGTGGGGGGAAGGGAAAAAGAGGGGAAGTCTACTAAAGTTTTTAAATCTAGTTTTTAAAAGAATTTGACTTTCAGTTTCTCTCTCTTTTTTAAATGTTCTCTTTTCTCCCCTTCTTTTTAATTTTTATTTTATGTGCATTGGTGTTTTGCCTGCATGCCTGAGTGAGGGTGTCGGTTCCCTGGAACGGAAGTTACAGACAGCTGTGAGCTGCCATGCGGGTACTGGGAATTGAACCCAGGTCCTCTGGAAGAGCAGTCAGTGTTCTTAACTGCTGAGCCATCTCTCCAGCTCCTGACCTTCAGTTTCTTGATTAACTATTGTGAGACAACATTATAATCTTGATTTACTACTCTATTTTAAAAAGTTATTAATATGGGCTGGAGGGATGACTCAGCTCACAATTATCTGTAATTCCAGTTCCATGGTATCTGATACCCTTGCATGAACAAACATGCAGGCAAAACACCAATGCACATAAAAGGAAAGTCATTAAGTTATGTACTATATGTGTACATGATGTGTGGGGGGAGAGCAGCTAGCATGGCATGTGGGTGTAGGACAGCTCTATGCAGATAATTCTCTCCTACTTTTATGTGGGTGCCTGGGGTGGGATTCTGCTCATTAGGATGGCATTGTCCAGCAGCAAGCAGCTTTATCTATTGAGGCATCTCACTGGTCCCCTACCTTTTTCTAAGGATCCACAACAATCAAAGGCCTAATTTTCTTCATTACTTCCCAGTCTTTATCAAAGAAGCTCAATTCAATATTTCTGTCGAAAGATTAAAATGTTACAGATTTTCATTATCTGTTTAAAAAACAAAAACCTGCCAGACACAGGACAGCCAATGCAGCTGAAAAGAGGAAGATTGTAGCCTCAAAGTTCCATCCCCCGCCCCCAGCCATTAGGAGTGCACCATCCATCACAGACAAGCTTCCCTCATTTGCAGGCTGCACATATTGAAACTCTCAAGTAATCAGGATTCGTCATCCCTTTCAAACTAATTTCACCAAACCCTGTGACATTAGTGGCAGTCACCTTCTCACATATTGTAGGAATCTTCTTCCAGCCCTTTTTCTTTCTGTTCCTAACTGACAAATAAAATCAGTGTGTTGGTGGCATACTTGATATTGTAAAGTATGTGCTTATTTCACAATAGGAGATTTGGCTGGTATGGGGGGGGCGTTGCATATTCCAAATTTGAATGTCACTTCTTGCTGCTGAGGTCACTTTTTGCTGTTGACTCTGTGAACTTTTCAGGAACTTAGTGACACACCTTCATTAAGTGTCATTTCCAGGGCATCTTAGCCCCCTTGACAAACTTCTTGGGATTTTCCTCTTATCTTCCATTCCTATAATCCATTCCTCTGTTTGCTTTTATGTCTTCATCTACAGAGGCAGAGAACTTAAAAGAAGTTTCAGTTCCTTAGGTAGGGTGGGCCTTGGATCCTTCACGATAGCTCTGAATGGTTCTTGCCAACCACAGACCAAAACAATCAGGACAGATTTGTTGTTTAAGGTGACAGAGAGTCAGGCAGGGTAGCACACACCTGTAATCCTAGCACTTGTGTTGGGGAAGTCCTGTGCATTTGTCAATAAAGCACTGTCTGGCCAATAGGGAATCTAGATAGGTGGGACTAGGAGTCCAGGAGAACTCTGGGAAGGAGAAACACAAGAGAGAGTCGAGATGTAACACCATGGGGTAGGAAGCCCGGAAACTTCTCCGGTAAGAGACATACTTAGATTAACAATTATGGGGTAATTACTTAAGTCAGAGCTAGCCAGTAAGAAAGAAGCAAGGCCAACAGCTTCATAATTAATACAGCGTCTTGTGTGTTATTTGGGGACTACAACGCGGCAGAGCCCAGGCGGCTGGCGGGGGATAAACCAAAGCGGCTGGCAAGGAAAAGCTGCCCTTTACACACTTGGTAAGACAAGGCAAGGGAATTATGAGCTGAGGCTAGCCTGAGATGCATAGTCAGATTCTATCTAAAAAATAAAATGCCAGAAGACAGATGACAAAAAAAAATGGGGAAGGAATGGTATAGTTCGGGGTTTTGTCACCAATCTTCAGAAGTTTCCAGTCTTAGGTCCCGTGTATATACTAGGAGACAATTTTCCATGTGTGATTCCGGGTTGTATAAGAAGACAGACTGAGCAAGCCATGGAGAGCAAGCTAGAAAGCAGTGTTCCTTTATGCCCTCTGTTTTAGTCCTGCCTCCAGGTTCCTGCCCTGACATCCACTGATGATGGACTATGACGGGGAAATGTTAGATAAAACAAACCCTCTCCTTCCCAAGCTGCTTTTGGTCATGGTGTTTCTCACAGCAACAGAAAGCAAACTAGCACAGTAGCCAAAGTGTGGCATCTTCTGAGTGGCAAGAGAAGAACTGTGTACCCCTGCAGAGGCCTGTGAGTGCCATTTCATCCTCAGGATGTGCAGCGGACTAAACACTTGTGTGACCCTCAAATGCCGTGTCACACTAAATACTGCCACACTAATCTGAGTGTGACAGTATTTAGAAATGTAACATTCGGAAGATAATTAGGTCACAAGGGTGAAGCCCTAATCAACAGGATTAGCAACGTTAGAAGAAGCCAGAATGTGTGCCCTACCTGAACCTGACCAGGCCTTCACCCTGACCTTGAACTTGCAGCTTCTAGAACTGTGGGCAAAGAACTTTGTTGTTTTAGCCACCCAGTATATTGTGACTAAGAAGGGAGGGGAGCAAAGAAGGAAGAGAGAGACAGGGAGAAGGAAGGTGGCTTTATGTTTGTTTGCTGTGCTGGGGAGTGAGCTCACAGCCTCCCACATCCTAAGAATGATTCTTTCACCGAGCTAAATCCCCGGTCCAGTGTGTTTGGGGGAGGAAAGGTTCCATCCCCAGAGGTAGGCAGCCTCGGGAGCTTGTTATGGACCAAGACTTAACACGAGGAAGAGGATGTAGGAGAGGCAGGTGCAGAGAGAAAACAGAAAGGCTTGGGGAAGTTGGAAAGGTATTCCCACTTTGAGTATATATTTAGGGAACTGCTGGAGGTTCATGGCAAAAACCCTGACCTGCCTCAAACTTGTGATCCTCCTGCCTCAGCTTCCTGAGTTCTGGGATTCCAGGTATCTTTCCATGCCGCTCCTGAATTGTGTGTAATCTGCTCTTTTTAAATCTGGTGGGGTTTTTTTGTTTTTTTTTTTTAACTGTGTTTAGTGTATTCTATCCCCCACCCCCATCCCCAGTGCTGTGGATGGAACCCAGGGTTCTGCAGGTACAAGGCTAGACTCCAGCTGCAAATCCATCCCCAGTGCTGTGGATGGAACTCAGGGTTCTGAAGGTACCAAGCTAGACTCCAGATGCAGATCTGCATTCTGCATCATCTCTGGGTGCTTTCCATAATTAAATCATAGCCCTGCTCACACATGTACATGCCAGATACATATACACACAGTTTAAAAAAGAGAGAAAAAAATGAAAACATACTATTTTAAGTTTTGCAAACAGGTCAATGTATTGTTCTTCAATATTTGAGTTTAAGGTTCTATTTCATTTATTTAGACTTATTATTATTATTACATGTGCCACAGTGCGTGTATGGCGGTCAGGACAATGCTGGAGAGTCAGTTTTCTCCTCCATTTACATGGCTTCAGGGGATTGAGCTCAAATCTCCAGACTCTTGCGGTTTGTTCAACTTTTGTCATTGAGCCATCTTGCCGTTTCCTGGAGAGTTCCTGTATTAACAATTTCATTTTGATCAGGGACCAGTGAGGTACTATTGTAATCCCAGCACGCTGGAGGCTGAGGCAGGAGGATGAAGAGTTAGTTCTAGGCTAGCCTCATCTACATATTAAGATCCCATCTTAAAAAGCAAAACCCCAAGACAAAACCCTACAAAACAGTCTCCTGTTTCATATGTATAATTTATCCACTTATAGGTGAACTTCTCTGGGACTTACCAAGTCTTAGGAAGAATTTAGCCATTTAAAACTCTAAGGCGAGGCTGGTGTGATGGCTTAACAGATAAGGCCTACACATCAAGGTGAAAAGAAAGAACTGTGCCCCAGCCCCATAAAGCTGTCCTCTGGCTTCCGCATGTGTGTCATGACACCTCATATACACACAGTGATAAGAAATACACTTTTAAGAATAAAATAAAAATCTAAGATGGATAGCTCAGCGATAGCCAAGCTAGCATACACAAAACCCTGGATTTGGTCTCGAGCATTGCAAAAATAAATTAATAAAAATAAAGCAGTTGAACATTTCAATCGAAGGTGCTACAGTAACTCACCTGGTTATAGTGCGTCCCTTAAATTGTGAGCAGAATAAACAGAAAGAAACCAAGTAATGAGAACCTGCAAGGTCATTACACATTTTGCTGGTCTTTCATGTCATGTGACTCACATTAGTTTGTTGTTTTGGTTTGGTTTGGTTTTTTGTTTTTGTTTTTGTTTTTGTTTTTTTTTTTTTTTTGAGACAGGGTTTCTCTGTGGCTTTGGAGGCTGTCCTGGAACTAGCTCTTGTAGACCAGGCTGGTCTCGAACTCACAGAGGTCAGCCTGCCTCTGCCTCCCGAGTGCTGGGATTAAAGGTATGCTCCATCACTGCCCGGCTCACATTAATATTTTTAAGGCGTTCATAAAAATGATCCTTTAACTTTACTTTCATTTAGACTCATCTCAGATAGGTTCTGAGCCCATCCTTCGAGTCTGAGAGATAGGTTCTGAGCTCGTCCTTCGAGTCAGAGACTGAGGGCATGCCACAAATGAGGAAGGAAGTTCCAGCTACAGAGCCCTGTTGGGGCCTGGGGAAGCCCCTGTTGAGGGTGCGCATGCTGCAGAGGCGTCCATGGGAGATTGGTGCAAACCCATCAACAATGTGAACAGGAACCTGAACTGAAGGATTTGTGACAGACAACGTGGGCAGAACAGGACAGTGAGGATCCGGGTGGACAGATTTCATAAGACAGTATTAAGCAAGAGGTGTGTGACTAAGTTGGCAACCCTGCCCCAGCTGAAGCATCGGTTCTAGAAACAGAGACCTGGCAACAGTCTTAGGAGACAAGCTGTAGGCAGGAAATCAGCTAGATCCACCACCCAGGAATAGAGAGGGGGAGGGGCGGCAGGCAGGGAACGGAAAAAAAAACCAGTTCCAAGGACATTTGGTTTCCAAGTCCTGGAGTTGATCTAGTTCATTACAGACTTAACTTCTGGTTGGAGACGAGGAACAACTTTGCTGACGGTTGCAAGAGGGCAAGAAGAAAATAATTCACCAATAGCCACCCAGCACCTCTCTGCAGCAGGAAACCCAAGCTGAAGGTTAACAGTGATGCCTCGGGAAGCACCCAGGCCCTGATGTGGCCCATTTAAATCCCCGCCAATTCTTTCTTGTGAGAGAGAAGACCATGGGACACAGTCTTCCTCAAGCCTCTATCACGTGGGGTAGAAATGCCATCAGGGTGTAGGGACAGGTAAAGGCTTGGGAGTTGGGGCTACCAGGTACAGATGAAGAACATGACAGGTTCCAACCTTCTTTGCCCCTGCCCAGCTCTTAGTAGGGTCTTTGCTGAGTTTCCTTCCCTGTTAATTCATACCTAGTTTAGAGCAAACAGTTAAGGGCTGACGATGGTGACTGTTCACTCTTGGATGTCTCCTCACTTCACAGGCTTGCAGTAGCCTGCACTGTGTGTGCTCCATTCTTCTGGGACAGCTATTTGCAAAATTCTCCTGAACATGGGCTCTTGAAATAGAAAATGTCTCTAGGAGCCAACACTTTTCCACATGCCTTGAACACACCCACAGAACGGTGATGGCACTGTGCACTGGAGTTTCAATCTACCGGCTCAGTGATGACTTTTGACCTCTGGACTGTTTTCTCTTTGTCACCAGTTCACTCATATTTATCTCTGTCCCACCTAGATATAAGGGGTTCCTTTAAGAATCATTTTTGTTATTGTTGTTGTTTAAGCAGGGCTTCTCTGTGTAATAGCTCTGGTTGTCCCAGAACTCACTTTGTAGACCAGGCTAGCGTCAAACTCAGAGATCAACCTCTGCCTCCTGAGTTCTGGGATTAAAGGCTTGGGCCACCATTTCCAGCTAATCATGTTCTTGTTGGATCATATATAAAAGTATAAACATGGGGCTGTAGAGATGGCTCAGTGATTTAAGAGAGCTTGCTATTTTTTTTGAGACAGGGTTTCTCTGTATTGTTTTAGAGGTTGTCCTGAAACTGGCTCTGTAGACCAGGCTGGCCTCCAATTCACAGAGATTCACCTGCCTCTGCCTCCTGATTGCTGGAATTAAAGGCGTGCACCACCAACACCCGCCGAGAGCTTGCTTTTCTTGGAGAATACCCAGGTTTGATTCCCAGCATCTACACAGCAGCTCATAACTGTAACTACAGTTCCAATGAATCAGATGCCCTCTTCTGACTTTCTCAGGCACCAGACATGCATGTGGTACACAGACAAACATGCAGGAAAACACTCAGATATAAAAATATTTAAAATGAACTAACAAACCATAAATGCTACAGCAGGTTCAACTCAGAGTCGTCGCACAGAGTGTCTAAAGCTAGTGTGATCTTAACTTTTAGGGGCAGCAAGAATTTTTCCAAAGTGCCTGAGGAGGGTCTTCAAAGAGGGGCACTCTACCAAAGGCTTCTCCCTACTCTATTACCCCAAGCCACGCTTCCTTCTGGTTCCCATGGGGTGAGACATAACTTTGGTCTTTGTGGTTTTTGTTTGTTTGTTTCAGTTTTTCAAGACAGGCTTTCTCTGTGTAGCCCTGGCTGTCCACCCTGTCCACCTTTGTTGATATTAAAAGTTTCCCAGTTGTATTCCTACAGACCACAAGTTACAATCTTCTTTTCCCTGGGCTTATAGATACCATGAAAAACAATCATTTATTCATTCACACATTCATTCAAGAAGCAGAGAGCAGTTTAGGATTTTGTGTCTAGCTCCACTGAGCTTCAATAGAAGACCTTCATGGTAAGAGAAACACCTAAAACAAAGCAATTAGAGGACAATTTATATGCTATGAAGGGCAACAGAGGGTTCTTTAAGTGTTTCCCCAGAGGATTCAAACATTGCATATTGTTTTACAGACTACTCACAGCTGGGGAGAAAAGGGTTCCCACTTGGTATAGTCAGAATAAAAAAAGGAAGGTTTAAACTTGAAGCTTAGTCTCACTTAGCTAGGAGAGGCCTCAGGGCTTGCCAAGCTTCTCCAGTTGATCTTATATCATTTAGGTGAGAGATAGAGTCTAAACTGTAGGATTGGGTTAAGCATGTAGCTCAGTAGTACAGCAATTGCCCAGCAAGTGAGAGACCTGGAGTTTCATTGCCTGAATCATAAAGAAAGAAAAAAATATAAAGAAAGAAGATCAGTAGTCTAAAAATGAGATGGGACATAACATGTTCAAAAGGCTGAATTTCTGGGTGGGTGAGATAGCTTAGCTTGTAAAGGGGCTGGCTGTTAGACTTGAAGGCCTGAGTTCAATTCCCAGGGCCCACATGGAGGAAGGTGAGAAGAGACTCCCATACCCCTACTGCAAATACATGAATAAATAAATTTAAAAGCTTCATTTCCAACAGAAGACAAATGAGAAGGGGGTCATAATAAATTTCAAATATAATCCTCTCTGTCTCTGTCTCTGTCTCTCTCCCTCCCTCCCTCCCTCCCTCCCTCTCCCTCCCTCCCTCCCTCCCTCCCTCCCTCCCTCCCTCCCTCCCTCCCTCCCTCCCTCCCTCCCTCCCTCCCTCCCTCCCTCCCTCCCTCCCTCTCTCTCTCTCTCTCTCTCTCTCTCTCTCTCTCTCTCCATCTCAAGAACAGCCAGGAGTTCCAGCATTCATAAACAGTGAAACTTACTGTAGAAGGAAGATGTACATTGTGTAGACAGTGCATCAAATGAGGCATGAATGTCATACATACACATACATCCCATTTAGGTTCAACGTTTGAGTGTCAGTGTTGTAACTGTAGACAGAGATGGTGCGGGTGCAGCAGGCGTAGCCAGAACAGGCAAGAGTGTTCCTGCATTTAGTGTGCCTTTTTAGCGATAGATCACCTACTGTGTACCATCACCCCCTCCGATTTTCCAATTGAATACTATTCTAAGACACTACTATATAATTGAGGGCAAGGTGGAATGAATGTCAAAATAGAAATTCTAAGTGGGATAAGTTTCTTTCTTTCCAGTGTTGATGCTGGGGATTGAATACCTTCCCCAGGCTAAGCACACTCCCAGTCCTAGGACTAGGGAATGCTAACTAGCAGTTTAGTAAATCTAGGGACCACCTGGGAAGTTCCTCCAAAGGCCTTGGCAGGGCTACTTGGCACAGACTGCCATACCTAGAGGTGGTGTCTCCGGGTAGTGGGGAGCCCCTCCCGCTGAGCTCGCTTCTGCCCTGGCCGCCCGGGGCAGGGGAGCTTGGCACGGCTGTCTCCGATGGCCCCAGTGGGAGGGTCACGGCTAAGACACCCGGCCCATCTCATTGTTTCAGGCCCGGCTTCCTCTTCTGGCAGAGGCCAGCGGCGCGCTGAGCGGGAAGGGGCCGGGACGCGGCTGGAGCCCTCGGGATGTCTACCTCTGCTGCTCCTTCCCCTCTCCAGGAGCTCGCGTTTCCCGGGGTGTGTGAGCATTCTCAATAAAAAGGGAAAAGCACCATCCAAGTGAATTTTCCAGCGCCGAGAGGAAATGCTGTTTCCTGCATCGTACAAAACTGGTGCCAATAAGACTGACACAGGAGCCCATTGTCCGACTAACAATGTGTGATGGGGAAGGGCGCCTGAGAAAATAGACCTGGGGCCACCGAGAGCGTTTGATCCTTCCCTGCAGGACTAGGTGTGTGTGTGTGTGTGTGTGTGTGTGTGTGTGTGTGTGTGTGTGTGTGTGTGTGTGTGTGTTGAGGGTTCGGAGTGTGTGAAGTGATATGTATCTGTGCAGGAGTGTGTGCATCAATCTGTGTGGGGGAGTGTGTGTTTGTGTGGAAGAGTATCCATTAGTCTGTGTGTGGGAATGTGTGTGATGTGTGTCTGTGTAAGAGTGTATATAAACCTGTGTGTGATGTCTCTATAGGCATGTGTGTGTGAGTAATGAGCCCGTGTGTTGTATCTTTATAGGTGTATGTATGTGCATGTGTACGTCTGTACATGTGCACAAGCTTATGTGTGTGCAAGGGTGCTTAGGCTGGTCAAGGCACAATGCATCCCTTTCTGTAGGCTGGTGCTCCTTTGGTGGGCTCTCAAAGGTGGGAACAGACGGGAAAACGAGCAAAGAAAAGCATAGAAATGGAAAGGAAAAAGAAAGAAAAACAAACAATCCCCAGGTCACTGAACTACATGTGGAGCCAGCCAACAAGTCAGCTGCTCGATGCGGGTTGGCGCTGAACTCCTGCAGCCTCGCAGTCAGCACGGTCCTGCACCCAGCCCAGACACAGGTGCTTGAGCGCCAGTGTTCCATGCGTGCCCAGAGGGGTACCCGGTGCCGGAGGCCCTGGGAGGTGATGGACCTGGTGGGAGAGCGAGCGCACACTGGCATCAGCCCACCTGGGCGCCAGAGGTCAGGGCCTTGGCCAGAGTGTCACCTCCCTGCCCTCGGTGCTCACGTACTCGTCGCGTTCGGGACGTGAAGTGCCGACCCAGAGGCTGCTCCGGCCAGGGCATGGGCTGGGCGATAAACAATCACACAGGATACACAACACCCTGGACTGTCACAAGTCCCTCGCAGGAAAAGACAAATAACATCTGAGGAGCCGCAGGCGCAGCTTCCCCCAGCAGAACAAAAAACTTTGGAGAAGTAAACAACAGGGCCGGGAAGAGTTCACACACTAGCCCTGGAAGCTGAGAGAGGCCATCTCTTCCCTGGGGGCCGTTCACTCAGGGGCTCCTTCCAGCGCAAAGAACACACATGCACAAAGGCACGCACACGCATGCACGGTTCAAACTGAGCCCTTTACAATGATTGGCAAAGCAGGGCGTTGTGGCACAAACCTGTACTGCACTTCCAAGGCAGGAAGCTGCAGGCTAACCTGGGCTACATACCTGACCTCCGTACTGAATAGCATACCAATAAACAAGAGATTGGTACTTGTCACACTCTGGGTAGGTACCTTGTTTTCTGGGCTCTGCAAGAGTAGCCTGTTGCACAGGCAAGGAGGGGCGGTGTGTTTTTCTGGACTGGAAGGCTGAGGATTTCCTGAAAATACAACTTTTTCCTTAAGGTTTGCTCTTGGAGTCATAGCCAGTGACACGAAACCCATCTTGATCTCCTGTAAAGGAGATCACAGCTATTCAAACTTGAGAAGCACAAATGTACTGTGACTACAATAAAATGTTCAAGATACACACTCTAGGGGTTCCCTGGGTGACCTTCCTTTTCTCTCACCTGGAGTTGATTCCCAAAGCAGCCTCCACCTTCTGTGAGGCAGCCAGACCTCTACATTGCCCTAGCTCTGCACAGATCACATGGCTGCCACACCAACGCCAGCTGTCCTCTCTGCATCGTTCAATTTAGTCACGTTTGCCTTCTGGCAAATAATTCACTGTGGTGGTTTGAACGGTCACCAGAGACTCATACATTCAAATGCTTGGTCTCCAGGTGGTGGGACTGTGTGTGGGGAAGAAGTAAGGGTATGTGACCCGGTTGGAGGAGGTGTGTCACTGGGGTGGGCTTTAAGGTCTCAGACACCCTGGCTATTCCCCAAGTTAGCTCTCCCATCTTATGCTTGTGGATCGAGGTGTAAACTCTCAGCTACCACTTCAGCTCCACGCCTGCCTGCCCACTGCCGTGCTCCCCACCATGACAGTCATGGACTCTGACCCTCTGAAACTATAAGCCCCCAATAAACTCTTTCTTCAATAAGTTGCCTTGATCGTGGTGTCGTAGCACAGCAATAGAAAATTGACTAAGACGTTTGTGTAACGTTTTGGGGGTACACAGAGGAAGCTAAAGCCAGGGGTGGTGGGAATTGTATGAGACAGTTAGTTTCTAAATATAATTCATGTCAGCCTAATATCTATGTACCATTTGGATCTCAGACCCGGCATTCTGAGGGACTTGCGGACACAGTGTATCTCCTTTTCTGAATTCTTTCTCATGCCTCTCTTGTGTGTCAAGTGGGTACATCTGGGTTAGATGAGGGCACAAGTAAGTGCGTTAGTGATTGGCTGGATGACAGGGTCCATGTATTCTGATTCCAACACTGATGGACTCCTATGGGACGTCTCAATTTGTGGCACTGTCCTTCCCATGATTTGTACAGTCGATACTTGCTCTCCTAGGCAAGTGGTTCCAATGTGGCTCATCTGTGGCCGAGTACATAGCATACTGGGAACATGGTAGGTTCTCAGTGTACACTTGCTCACTGCAGAGCAGAGATGCTGTGAACGACCTGGTCTGATTGGGAAGTGACACAAGTTAAGATCGTCCACGTAGCTCATTATAGACCACATCGGAGCACTGGCTGACTCTATAATGAGGACATTTGTGTCCCTTTGCTTCTTCCAGGGTTGATAATGAAAGGGCAGAGTGGGAAGAGCTAAGTATCCAGCCACACAGATTGTAACTTGCAGGGAGTCTAGTGCAAGGCACCCGTGACATTGTCAAGAAGTGAGCGTGGCCACAGCCTGTGTTAAAAGTGAGGGCTTTCATCCAGCGTCCATTTTGGGTGATCTAGAGCAGCTCTGTGTTTCATCAGCTCTGAGTCCTCAGATCAGGAGGGATTAAGATAGAACCCTTTGGGGCATGCGAGATGACCGTGCGTAAAGACACTCGCTTTAAAGTCCAGCAATATGAATGACCATTCCTTGGCATCCTTGTGGTGGAAAGGGAGGACTGACTCCTGCAGATTGTTTACACACACACACACACACACACACACACACACACACACAGAGTGATATGCATGGTCCTCTCACAATAGATAAATAAATGTTAAAAATGACATATCTGATGAGAGGAGAGGGACCAGAGGAAAGAGAAGCTCAGTGTCACACTGTGTGAATGGGCTCTCAATGTTTGAACCTATTAGGTTAAAATGGACACTGAAACTGTGTAGATTCTCTTAGGACCAGGGGAGATAGCCCAGTTGGTGGTAGAGTGATTGACTAACATGTAATGGTCCAGTATGGACCGGAGGTCTGTAGGTTTATACATCCCTGAAACAAGTGAACAGAGACCTTGGTGAAGCTAATTGGCTCAGACTTGGTAGCACCACTGAATGTTGCCTAGTATAAGTGGTTCCCTGATGGACCCACCAGAGAAGCCCCAAATGAGAGCAGTTACTGTACATAGCCACACAGGTATTGATGACTGTGTTTGGTTCATGTGGGCTCTTAACTGAGGAGGGAGGGAAAACCACTAAAAACCTGGACATGCTTTGCAAGGGACATAGTGAGAAAGGATTTGAGCATTCCCTCCAGAGCTTTTGTTTATTTGTCGTTGTTGTTTTTTTTTTTTGTTTTCCAAGACAGGATTTCTCTGTGTAACAGCTGGGCTGGAATTAAAGGCAAGTGCCACCACGCCCGACTTGAGAGCCCATCCTAAGGTCTCTTTACAACTGTTAACTGTTTACTTCTATTTTTTTTTGTTTGTTTGTTTTTTGTTTTTCGAGACAGGGTTTCTCTGTGGCTTTGGAGGCTGTCCTGGAACTCACTTTGTAGACCAGGCTGGCCTCGAACTCACAGAGATCCGCCTGCCTCTGCCTCCCGAGTGCTGGGATTAAAGGCATGCGCCACCAATGCCCGGCTGTTTACTTCTATTTTGCTGAGTGTTTACTTTGTCTTCCTATAATTTTTTAAAACCTAATGAGACCATTAAGGTACATTTCTATTACTATCTTACAGAGAAAAATGAACACCATGGAAGTAAACAAAAATTAAAGTTTCTGGTTCCCAGACTAGATGTTAAGATATTTCAAGTTATATAGAACTAGTTGGTCTGAAAATTAGCTTAGTGGTGGAGTATTTGCCAAGCATCTCAGGGCCATGGGTTCCATTGCCTGAATTGTGAAGACAGCTAAGTCATTGCTGATGACTCAGTGTTCGAGGCTGAGACTAGAACTCCAGGCTCTAACCTCTTGCCTAGTGTGGGAGATGCTCCAGATTCCATCCTGGTACCTCTAAAGGAGAAGAAAGGAGTATGACAGACAGGTTTTAAAAGCTTTGTCTGACCACCCAGGACACAGGACAACTGGAAAGCATATGTATTGTTGTTAAGAATGCCAAAGGAGTCAGGAGGTGGTAACACACACACCTTTAATCCTCCAGAGGAAAAGGCAGGCAGATCTCTGTGAGTTCTAGACCAGCTTGGTCTACAAAGCAAGTTCCAGGACAGCTGGGGCTATTACACAGAGAAACCCTGACTCTAACCCCCCCCCCAAAAAAAGAAAGAAAAGACCAAAGGATCCCATTTTAGAAGACAATTTGTTTGATTGTTTGTTATAAATCAGAAGCATATTGCTACACAAAGACCCATGTGAAAATGTGGTGGAAATATTCAGAATGCTGAAATTGCACTTGGGAGGCAGAGGCGGGCAGATCTCAGGGAGTCTGAGGCCAGCTGGTCTACATAGTGAGCCCCAGACCCTGTCTCAAAACAAAACAAAATTATATTTCAAGAAACTTGACCTCAAAACTAAATTCATCATCATTTTTTAAAAGATTATTGCTTTCATTTTATGTGCATGAGAGTTTTTGCCTGCATGTGTGTTTGTACACCATGTGTATGAAGTGCTCATGGAGTTCAGAAGAGGGAAGGCATTGGATTCCAGGGACTGGAGTTACACACAGTTGTGAGCTGCCATGTCGGGTGCTGGTAACTGAACCAGATCCTTTGCAAGAGCAGCCAGTGATCTTAAATGCTGAGCCATCTTTCCAGCCCCTCTATTATGATTTTAATAGTTATCTCTTGATAATCTGCCTAAAATTGCTCTTTAATAAATTTTGAGCGAACGAACGAGTCTAAGTAGAAGTTCTGCTTCTTACCGCAGTCAGATTGCTCCAAAGTGAAATTGAAAAGGCGTGAGTGCCGTCTCTTCCTGGTCTCTTGGAGATGGCATGGGAGGGTGTGGACAGGCCACAGGGAGCAGCCTCCACAAGATATGAGGCTTTCCGAGGAATTGTTACTCATTCGGGAAACTCCCAGCCACAGCCCTGAGAGTGGAAAGCACAGATGCTGTTGGAGGGTCTTCACAGTAAGCCTGTGGTGGAGGCATTCAGGATTCCACTGTTTGAGTAAGAGCTCATGTCCATCATCACACACGTGTGCACACTCCTGTGTAGTGGGAAGCCCCTGAGCCTCTCTGGGTGTGACTTAGTAAGGGAGGGTTACTGAGTGAGATCACTACTTAGCAGATAATGTCTGTAGAATCAAAGTCCAGGCTGGGACTTCTGTGGGCAGCAGAAGATTCTCAAAGTGAAAATAGCACTCCAAGGAGCCCCAGTCCTTCTCAATTCCAACCCCACAATAGCCTTTTAAGATTCATTACACAGAACAAGTAATCAGGGACTACCCCCTTCTGATTAAAATAACCCACTACCATGATTCCTTGGAAAACTGTGGCTGGCTTATACAGGAAAATATGCAGATTTGTATTTAGACAGCAATTGCTTCACTTTCATTTTGTCAAGTGACCTCTTCCATAAGACCTCTGTCTTCTCTTCCTCCTCTTCCTCTTCTTTCTTCCCCTTTCATTTTAAAACCACCTTAGCCATATAGTGAACAGTGACTATATTCATATTGCTAACTGGGTGGTGGCGGCACACGCCTTTAATACCAGCACCCAGGAGGCTGTGAGTTCCAACTCTGTCCATAGCCAACTGTGGTTGAACTCCCAGATTGTGTATCTCAACCTAGGTGACATCTAGTTATAGGGGCTTTCCAGGCATGTTATAGGTAGCCCACTGAACTTCAGGTTCAATCTTCACCTGGTCCTTTCCCCTTCCAAACTTCTGATCTATGTGTCTGTCAAAGCCAGAAACCTGATGATCAGCCTGTCACATAAGCATTAGATCACTTTTCCACTCAGCCTTGAGTGAGTCAGGCTCTCTGCTGATGCAGGTGCACACACACACACACACACACACACACACACACACACATATAAACCTTGTGTGAAGGGTGGAATACATCTGGTGGGCAGACAATGGTGGGAAGGTAGTTTTCAGCCCAGGAGACATTTGGAGTGTCTAGACTCTGGGGTGGTGGTGTGCAATGTTGCTAGCATCCAGTGGGCAGAAACAGCTCATGAGGCCTGGCCCCAAGATGGTCCTAGACCTTTGCCCTCCCCACCCAGATTCTGCTCACTGGAGACTGAGGCCAGCCTTGGCAGCACAGAACTGTTTGCTAACTACAGTCTTGTGCACAGAAGCAGTGTCATGTCTTCAGGGTACCCACTCCTGCTTCTTACCATAACCAAGACAAATGTCTGACTGACTAACATTGGAGTTTTAAAGCCTGGATTCCACCCGGCATTGGTGGTGCATGCCTTTAATCCCAGCACTCGGGAGGCAGAGGCAGGCGGATCTCTGTGAGTTCGAGGCCAGCCTGGTCTATAGAGCGAGTTCCAGGTTAGCCTCCAAAACAATACAGAGAAACCCTGTCTTGAAAAACCAAAAAAAAAAAAAAAAAAAAAAAAAAAGAAAAGAAAAGAAAAAAGGCTTGGATTCCTGGCTTCAAGCGGGTAACCATATGCAATTGACTGGATGTTTATTTGCCCCCAAATGTCACATCGTATGAATCCCAATGTGACTCCATTTGGAAGGACCCTATAGGAAACACATGGGTCATGAGTGTGAAGCCAGCATAGAATTAAAAAAACAAAACAAAACAGAGTGCACTGGGGTACCTTCAGTGCTGCAGAAAGTGAATTCTGGGATTGACTTCCTTCTCTCTCAACTCTCATGTGTTATCCTGAGACCTTGGACAAGGCCCTTTGATTCCGTTTCATCATCTTAAAAATGAAGATAGGGACATCAGCTTCTTTTCAAGTTATTGGCAAGCTTATCGAAGTAGATCCAGGGTCCTGGAACAGGCAGACAAGGGGCTGGAGCCCAAAGCCCAGTTCCCGACACACAGTAAGTACTTGGTATCTGTTCATTGTTACAAATGTTTGTTGAGTATTTGACCAACTAGCTCTAGAACTGATGAATAAACAAGGAATACACAGAAATGCTGTTTCACCAGACAGTTAAATCAAGACGTTTATTTACTACTTAAGGAGACTGACAAGAGGGCTGTTTACATAACCTGCCATTGTCTCCCTATCAGACCTTCCCTCTGAGGGTTGTTTCGGGGTGTTTGAGCCAAATCCTGAAAGAGGAGATGAAACCAATAGAAACTGAAAGGGAATTTCCCTGGGCAGAGATAATAACTACGGCCCCCAGGCAGAACCAAAGATCAAACAACCCCCACCCCCTATCCCACCACTCACCAGAGCGTCCCAAAGAACAAAGGAGGCCAGTGGACCCTGGGCTTGAGGAATCAGAGGCAAAGGAGGATGGGATGGAGTTGGAGAGGAAGGTGAAAACCAGACCAGGCAAAGAAAGCCTCGAAGGGCAGGCGTGTGGCTCTTATCTGTGATGTAATGGAAAGGATTCAGGTTGCCCATGGCAACGAGCTGTTATCTCTTTTAGAAAAGATTGTCTGACTCCAGAGTCCACAGGTAAACCTCTGGAACACAAAGGAAAACAACTGACGATTTCAAGATCGTTATTCCAGGTTTCATTCAAGTAAAGAAATGATATCTCCACGTGGATTTGAAATTGTTAAAATCTGTTTGAATTTCCAGGACTGTGACGGGATGGGGGAAAGAGGACAGTTGGTTTGTTTTAAAATTCGAATTTTACAAGTGCTTATGGGATATGGGAAGCTCTGTGTGTGTGTGTCTGTATGTCTGTGTGTTTCTGTGTGTGTCCGTTTCTGACACATTGCATGTGTGGAGGTCAGAGGATACCTATGTGGTGGACACCAGGGACTGAACTCGGGTTATCAAGCTCAGTCAAGAAAACAGCAAGTACGTTTATCTGCTCAACCATCTCACAGGTCCCTTTGCAAGATTTTAATGTGTTTCTTATGTCACAGCAAATGATAGATATTAGTAAAGGGTTTTATTTTTTATTGAATTAGACAACTGCGGGAAGACAGGTATTCAAGAATTTTTGTTTATGTTAATGTCAAAATGACGCGCTTTATTCCGACACTTTTCATAGACACTTACCATGCAGATGGTTCACACCACACCCTGAGTTATCCTTCCCCTCCCCCATCCTAATGTATCCCTTCCCCTTCTCCATGTTTCCCTACTCTTCCCAAGTATTCCACCTTCTTCTTTCACAATGGTTTGTTTTAAATATAGATTCTGGGGCTGGAAAGTTGGCTCAGGGGTTAAGAATGTGTACCTGTTCTCACAGAGGACCTGAGTGATGATCTCATCTGGGGGTTTGTTAAGCTTCAAACTGTAAAATTCTGCTTGCTTGAGTTTCTTGTTTGTGAATGAGAGCTACTATCTTAGAGCTTGTGCTAAGGCATCGGGAATGATTTACTTAAGAGGAGTGACATTTATGCAAATTCCCCAAGCTTTAAAGAGGAATGTTTTCTACCAAACAGAACAATTTTATTTATTTATTTATTTTGGTTTTTCGAGTCAGGGTTTCTCTGTAGCTTTGGAGGCTGTCCTGGAACTCTAGCTCTTGTAGATCAGGCTGGCCTCGAACTCACAGAGATCCATCTTCCTCTGCCTCCCGAGTGCTGGGATTAAAGGTGTGTGCCACCACTGCCTGGCCTCATTTTTTATACTTTTTTATTTCAAATATTTTACACACGTATTACAATTTTGCTATAAAGAACTTATAAATTAAAAAAAAATACCAGCAATATGGTCCAGACCCCCAATCTGTCCATTTCAGTGAAGCTCTATATGGCTAGTGTAGCCATTTGAAGCTGTAGCACTTAAAGAACAACAAACTGAAAAACTCATGACTGAGTTAGAGCTAGAAAACTATCTGCCAGGCATGATGGTGCACACAGGAGATAGGAAGGCTGACCTCTGTGAGTTCCAGGCCAGAACTGGTACGTGTAGCAAGTTCAGGACAGCCAGGGCTTATGGAGAGAAACTCTCAAGCAAACAAACAAAAATCTGGGAAAAAAGCCGGGCGTTGGTGGCACACGCCTTTAATCCCAGCACTCGGGAGGCAGAGACAGGTGGATCTCTGTGAGTTCGAGGCCAGCCTGGTCTACAGAGCTAATTCCGGGATAGCCTCCAAAACAATACAGAGAAACCCTGTCTCGAAAAACCAAAAAAAAAAAAAAAAAAAAATCTGGGAAAAACTAAATTAGCTTTATTACGACTCTTATAACTCAAGTGTCCATCACTCGCATCCAGTCCTTCCTCATCATGGACATTTACCCTTGCTTGTTCTCCCATCCACACTATTATACTGAACCCACGTTGCACATCTGTTTATGTATACACATGTATACATATGTATGACAGGCCTACCTTGTTCATTGTCATATAATTATAAAAATATTCTTATTTGCAGATTTTTATATATTCTCATCTCATGTCAGAGTTATGTTCAAATAGACTCATCATAAACTAAAAATATTATCAGTCAAAAATGCATTTAATCAACCGGGCGTTGTGGCACATGCCTTTAATCCCAGTACTCGGGCGGCAGAGGTAGGTGGATCTCTGTGAGTTCGAGGCCAGCCTGGTCTACAGAGCGAGTTCCAGGTTAGCCTCCAAAGCAAAACAGAGAAACTCTGTCTCAAAAAAATAAAATATCAAAAAAATGCATTTAATCCCTGTAATCTGACAGACACCCTGACTCACCCCAACCTACCTTAGACATATTCGGGACACTCCATCAACCCAGAGCAGAATCATCTAACCTAACCTGAACTCATAATACAGTCTGGGATCTTTCAAGTAATTTATCGTGTACCATGTTGAAGATATCTCCACAAAGCCCCAAATAATTATAAATTCTCAAATCAGGGGTTGTCTGTGCATTCTGATAGTTGGCAGTGTCAACAGTGAAATACATTTCTGTGTACTCCTAAAATTGCCCAGGTTTAAGTAAGACCTGCATAATGACAATGCCAATGGACAGGCCAGAGTGGATGGGGGAATCACCTGGGCCCAACCCCTAGATGAAGAGCTACAATTAACAACTGTAGAGAGGGCAGAATGGACTTTGTTAGAGATGAGCTCTCTAACTGATTATAAATACCAAGGGGACAGCTGCCAGGTGACAGACAGGGACAGTCCCTCATGATGCCTGAATCCTTACAATTATTATTTGTGTGTTTGCACACTGTGTGTGTGTGTGTAAAACACCAAATGAACTCAGCAAGTCATATTTATGTAATTATTCATATATACTTAACAGCAATAATTTAAAAAAAACAGAAGTCATGAATTTGAGAGGGAGTAGAAGCGTTTGTTAGAAATGATGCAAATTCAGCACACACACATGAAATTAAAAAAATAAATGTGATTAAAAGAAGAAAAAAGAAAAAAGGCATTTTGATTCATTTTATTTACATTTGAGATGGTTTCACTCTAGCTCAGATGTGGTGACATATTATTTATGATTTATTAAAGTTTGCCTGAGGATTCACAAGGCAAAAGACAGCCACAAGCTGTAGAAGCCAGGCAGTGTTGGTACACACCTTTAATCCCACCACTTGGGAGGTAGAGATAGACAGATCTCTGTTAGTTCAAGACCACACTGAGCTATACAAAATTGATCCAGTCCTAAAGAGAAACAGTTCACAACAAAGATGATCTCAGTACTTGGGATCACACACCTTTAATCCCTGGACTCGTGAGCGGTAATTAAGACAGAAAGAGGGTCTCAGAGCTGGCATTCATTCTCTAGCCACATTGAGTATAGGAAGACATTCTGAGAATTAGTCTCCAGCCACACTGAGGAAAGCATCTGAGTGAATCTGAAGAGCAGTAAAGTCGGGAGTCTGAGAATTGCCCCTTCGGTCTGAGCTAAGGCAGAGGTAAGAGCTAGTGGCTGACTGCTTTGCTTTTCTGATCTTTAGCTTGAAGCTTAAACCCCAGTCTCTGTCTCTGGATCTTTTTTTTTTTTTTATGTGCTACACCCAGGTGACAGAGAAATCACTAAGCCCAGCTTGACCTTGAATTTATAGCAATCCTAGTCCCTCAGATTCCCACAGGTTGGAGAGATTCTGAACAGATTCCAAAGAAGTCCCCTTCCCCTTTAACCCTGCCTTAGTGGTCTGACAGTCCCATACATGCATATCATGGATTTTGGTCATTTTCATCCCCTATTGCCCTCTCTCATTGCTGAATCCCTTCTTCCTGAGGCTGGAGAGATGGCTCAGCAGTTAAGAGCACTTGTTACTCTTCCAGAGGACCTGGGTTCAGTTTCTAGCACCCACCAGGTGCCTTCTTTCCAACAAGTTTAAAAACCATTTTAACTTCCAGTATTTTCTTTTGTGAGAATTTACTCTGATTGGATTAATGAGGATATACTATTTGTAGCATGGTGAGAATCCAAATGGGACTCAAGAGACCTAAATGTCTGTGTGGCCCTCTGGAGTGGGGTGAGAGTGGGCCCACACGGATTCTAAGGAGGCAGAGCCACCGTCTTACCATGCATGGATGAGGCACCCAGGAGGAGTGTCTTAGTTAGGGTTTCTATTGTGGTAAATCACTCTGACCCGAAAACGACTTGGGGAGGAAAGAGTTTATATTTCCGCATCATAATCCATCATCCAAGGAAGTCAGAGCAGGAACCTGGAGGCAGGAACCTAGAGACAGAGCTGATACAGAGGCCATGAAAGAGTGCTGCTTACTCAGTTTGTTGCTCAGTTTGTTTCCTGTGTACCCAGGACCACCCGCCTAGGGGTAGCACCACCCTTAGTGGGCTGGCCCTTCTCACATCAGTCACTAATTTAAAAATGCCCCTCAGGCTGATCTTAGGGAGACATTTTCTCACTGGTAGAACACTCTTCTCAGACAAGTCTAGGTTTATGTTGTGTTGACAAAAACCAATCAGCACAAGGAAGGAAGACCGTGTGGGACAGTCACTTTTCAAGTTCAAGCCAACAGCTAAACGGAGGTAGGGCGGGGAGTGAGGGTAGGACGCCAGCTAAGGAGGGGGAGCTGGGAAAGGAGGGACTGGACCTGGTGGTGAGGGACTCCAGTTCTGATCTGGATGTTTACCATGACACTCTGAGCTGAAGCTGGAAGAGAAAGTTGGATGGAGGAGTCGAGAGGACGGAGATGTCTAAGATGTCCTTCCCAGGAACGTCAAAATGGCATGAGAGCTACAAGGCCAGGTGGGAACAAAGGCCAGAAGAGAGTCTCAAGTTGAGACAGCGCTTAGCTGTGTGGTTACAAAGAGATCTGTGGCAGATCTAAGAAGGGAGCATCAGGAGGTATGGGAGGCCCATGTTCAGGAATGAGTGGGGAAATTTAAAGCAAAGGTCAAAATAGAGAAAGACGTTATTCTGATGTGCAGTCAGGTGTCAAGGCAAGAGCAATTGGAGGGAGTCAAGGGC